CTGATAAAGTAGTGTCCTAATCATAACATGGGTAACCTCTGCTTCAGTGTTACAATTGATTTCATCCTGAACAGATTTTGGACAAAAAAGGAGTCAGAGAAGGAATACAGGAGAATGCAGCATTACTCTTGCATAGAGCAATGTGTTGAAAATTGCATGTGTGTATATACATATGTGTGTGTGTATGTGTGTATATATGTATACATTTTTAAGAACATGCACATTGATAATCTCGGATCACAAAAGTGTGAAATACCATGGGTTGTCCGTATCTTGACAGAACGACAGCATTCACTAGCATATGTAGTAAATTTCTCATTTTTTGTGGACCCTGACCTTAGGAGGAAACCTTTCTTATACGTATTTTTGTGGTCTAGGGAGTACATCAAACAAGAAGAGTGCACAAAATTGTCCAAATGGAGCAATATTGCACTGACAATCCATCAGTCTGTAGTTACATTTCCATTTTACAGTATCATCAGCCTCTTTATTAACTTTAGATGCATATATAGACTTATAGGCATGGCTGCAGATGCAATAGCAACTGTTACTGAGAACACATACATCCTTGTAGAACCTACGTTTTAAGGTCTTAGCTAACTTTGTATTTTGAAACTTTAAAGAAAAATGCGGATTTGAGGTGGTAATACAGCTTCTCAATTTGTAAGCTGTATTTGTCGCCTAGGTTTCCCAGGGCATCTGTGAAGTGATTGGCAATAACATAATTATATACTGTCTACATAATGGCATTACAGAATGCTTCCTGGTTTTCTCAAGAGTAGCCACTTCTCGTTACACACACCTGCTTCTTATTCTCTTGGTGTGGGGAGTACACTCCAGTCCGTCAGCTGAAATGGGACTGTTGCAGCCATATAGGGTTGAGAAGATAAAAATGTTATATATGAGCTAAAGGCTAATAAATTAGTCTTCACTTGGAAGGAGTTCTATAAGGTTTAAAAGAAAAGTGCTCATAGGTGAGAATACTTGAGCTTAGTGATATGCATTTGTTAACTCATTAAACTTCATAGTATATTAAACGTGGACTTTAAGTCATCCTTTTTAGCGTATCGGCATTCTTTTAAGAACATGTAAATTGATAACTACAAGCTGAAAAAATATTATAAACTACCTCAGAATATCAGTGCTCTGAGATGCAGCACTTAATCCTCTATTATGGTGCAATAAACCTCATTTTTCTTGGGTCACGGTTAATGAATATAATGGCAGTCCGTCTATCATAGGTTATTATGTCACGGATAATGATCTTCACACAGGCGAGATTCCTTCAGCCCTTGCTCCTAGGTATTATTTCCGGTCCAATTACATCTCATAACTCTCTTTGCTTTCAACTTTTGTCTTGCAAATTTTCTCGTGCATTTTACTTAGCTTCATGTCATATTAATCTCATCCATTTGCCATACGTATTTTGAAAGTAAATATTGTTTATGTTGAGACAGTTCTGAGGGCCCAAAGCAGTCTGATATCACCTTGTGCTGCTCGCTGCTCAATTGTAAAAGTCCGTGTCGGGCTCAAAAATCTTGTGCTATTAAAAGACTCTGGAACAAAAGAGAGTCATGGGGGTGTAACACTTTTAAGTAATTGTGATCTTGTTATGTACAAACTTTTTCATTTTTTAAAAATCTACTCAGGAGCAGTTGTCCTGACGTAGTTCAGATCTTAAGGCTGCCATGTCCAAGCATGATCCAGCAGAGCAGAATTTGTCCAGTACTGCCTGTACTTTGGGGCCTCTGCCTCCCGCTTTTTCTTTTGTTTAAGGTCTAGAGTGGGTCACTCAAGTACTTTTCCACAGTTTTTTAGTGTGGCTTTAATTTATGGAGTGTCTGGAATGAGAGAGCAGCTGCTATTCATTCTCACGGTGTCCGATTTCTGACAGGTGATAACACCTGGGCAGAACATCCGCATGGCCAGAGTGGTCTGCAGTCTAACCTACAGAATGAGCTATAATAGTAAGTAGTCAGTATTTGATTAAAAATAAAATTGGTGTGGAGTGCAGATGAAAAGCCAGGATAGTACTGGGATTATATCCTTCCTGTAGAGGTGGTTTAAAAATCGCATCTTGTGATTGTTGCTAACTGTGGTGTGTATCTTTGAAAGTATTAAGTGCTTATGCAGAGTTCTAAATGAATTTATTAGACACCATCTGGGCATGTTTATACTAGTTTGTTATGACCCCTATGCTGCTATATGGTATTTCAAATATTTTTACTACTTGAACTACAAGACTTGTGTTTTGAGTTAATATTGTAACATTAAGGATGACATTGAACTTTGATTTTTATTCAGTTTAAGAAATGTTTTTTGAAAATCCACATTTGTAATCTAATTTGAGGCAGGACTTTCTTCACAGCAAGATGAACCCTAGTAGTTGGCACAGGTTCACATGACTAACCAAACTCACCAAAGGGCTGTTGCTTTTATGTGATTGATGCTTCCTCTGAGCAGTGGTGGCCTGGGAACTCTCTGACATGGGTACCCTGTGTTCAGTCTGCTGCGTGCTGTGGACAGCCTGGCTGAAGCTGTGATTGTGTGCGTTATCCTGGCTTTAAAGGGCATCTCCTGCTTTCCTAAGAGCCATCTGTTTCTCTCTAGCTGTTACTATTTGCAAACAAAACAGTAATCTTTGAAGTGATGCTGGTAATTATTAGTAGGTAGCATTTGGGCAGGTGTATTTGATATGGCGGTGCTAGGCAGCTGCAGCTTTGCGGGCCAGCTGTTAGCCTGCTGAGCTGTGTAGCTGCCATCCCGGCCGCGGCGGCACAGCTTCTGCTGCCTGGAGAGGAGGAGGAGGGTGAGGAGCAGAGTGGCAGGTCTGAGCTGGGGTTTCTGGAGAGCTCCCTCTCAGAGCAGCCTCACTGAGAGCAGCGCCGTGTCTGGATTTAAAAATATATGTCAGCAGTGGGAGAGGATACAACAGGTAGGCTTGGCTTACTGCAGACCTGGTCTTTCCCTGGAGATCACTGGGGTGTTTATCCCAGTCAGCTTCAGTGGCATGTCCTCTCCTGCATCGTAGTGAGGAGGACGGGTCATGTCCAATTAAGATTTCCTTCAGAAAAGGAGCTCTTGGACTGTGAGGCAGCATATAGTGGGTTAAGGTTGAGAAGGAGAACAGGTACTACAGAAGCTACACCTTGTCACTCAACTGAGAAAAGTGTCTGTGGCTGACCATTCTCATGGAGAATCTCTCCCAGTAAACAGAACTTTTCTCACAGCTTGCTTGTGCTGTTTATAATCCATATTTTATATCTTAGTGATCCAGACTTAATTCCACATTGGTAACCTCACCTGAATTTTGTAGTAGTTTTCAGTGTGTTTAGTGGTTTTGCATAGCAGTTTGTAACTGGCAATAAATAGTGAATTTGCCTCATCCATGTGAATGTGTTCAGGACCTCAAATTAAACATTAGTAACCTTCATAGGATTATATTGTAAACTTTGGAGAAATATAAGGAAGTGGATTCATGCTTACGATTTAAAAAAAATTTTGAAAAAAAATTTCACAATTCAAAAAGTTTTGGATCCTAAGAGCTTGGTTCTTTGTAATTTCTGCAACCCTCGTTTGGAGGAATAAAGCGTTGCCCTACTGTTGCCCATAGTGTTGCTATTGGTAGGTCAGATCCAATACCATCAATAATAATAATAATAATAATATATTTGTGGGACAATGATTTCTAAATCAAACCTGTGCTCAAATTTCTATTTTCTCAGCTGCATGAAGAATTTAATTCAATAGTTTTGTGAAGTATTTTCTGTCTGGTGTTTTCTACAGAAAAAAAGCCAATTCATTTTGTAGAAGGTAAAATGTACTGTTTTCTTTCATTCCTCACAAACATGTCGATAAACCAGTTTCTTTTGGTCAGAAACTAATTGAAGAAAAAATACTGAAACACAGAAAAGCATACATGAATTAGACTGTTAGCTTTTTATTTGTATAGAATTTTAATGATGAGGTGAAAAAACATCTCATCATTAGTCTTAGATGATAGAACTTAAGCGGCAGTGAGCAAAGGAGGTGATGCTTGTGTGTCCCACAAACTGCTTTTGATAATCTTACTCTGAGGATTTTTTTTTTTTTAAACTCTGGATATGTACTAATCTTATTGTCACTATGGTAACAATAAAACCTTAACTCTCTTGTTCTTCCTATTAAATATATCAGTATATCAGACATGGCATTTATCTGTGGGTTTATCAACAGGAAACTCAGTACTCATTTCTTTTTTAAAAAAACAAAAGGCAAAAAGAAAATTATGTAAAACTTTGCTCAGTCTCAGCTGGAAAAGAGCCCATGTATTATTGTATCAGTCTATTTCTTGTAACAAATCGGTGCTTCATTATTAAAATGAAAAATTGTCTATCTTCCAAAAAAAGCACCATGTGAACATCTAAGGCCCGTTACTTATAAAATGTCTACTCTGTGCACATTGCTGCTTATTTTATTCAAGTATGTGGATTGATAAGTGCTGCTAACTGCATCTTAGGTGGTTGTATTCTCTTTTCTGAGTTTCCTGTCCGTGGTCATTAGAGAAGATGACCTTGAAATCTTGTGCTCTCATTACAGACTCAAGGGTGAAGGGTCCAGTTCTTCTGGGGACAAACAAGAGTGTAGATTTTTTTTTTTTAACAAGCTGTTGGTTATTGTTTAATTTAAACTGTCAAATATGAAAGATGTTGCAGTGAATTTCTCACTTGAGTGCCTGTACTGAAAAATGTTTGCAATAACTTATATTATGTTCTTGGAGTTAATGAATACAGAAGGATGAAACAGGGGAAAAACAATCAAGAGCCTAAACTTTAAGAGGGAGAAAAAAACACTTGCTCTCCTTTCTCCCTGCTACCTTACTTTAGCTTCTGTCATAATAGGAATTATTATGAATAATAAGCGTATGTATGGAAGAGAGAAAAGCTATACCATTAACTTGTTTATTTGTTTTTAGGTTAACAAAGCCCTTGTCATTTGCGGATTGTGTTGGGGATGAACTACCGTGGGGATGGGAAGCCGCATATGATCCTCAGATTGGTGTATACTATATTGATCACATAAACCGTAAGTATTTTTTCAATTTGCCATATTGATTATATAAGAAGGCACGTCATGATTAGACTTTCTTAAGAGGCTTTTAAAGCATGAATGGGAGTAGGGCAAGATTTCTTGTGAGAGAAGTGTAGTTAAAGTAACAATTTCTGATTTTCAGTAGACAAATTATCCCATTTGTGTGCATGGGTTTGTTGGGGATGGTTGCAGATGTATTATAGCTGGCTCAAAATTATTCATATGACTCTTCATCTTTTGCTGTGGAAGAAGTCCGTGTAATGTGTCATAAATAAAGATTGCTTACATCTGTTGGTATCTGTAAAGTGTATGATGTTTGGTGGCCATTAAATATTCAGTAATGCTCACTGGCAGAGATAGTCTAACATGAGTAACAAAAACTGGCTTCAGTCTAACTACTGAAAGGAACTATTGTAGATAAGGTGGTATGGAGTGTGTGTGGGGTATTTGTAACTTGTATATGAGGTCTGGCAAATGTACTGTAGTTCTAAGAATGTTGTAGAATACATTTCAGGCTATAAATAATGCTGTATTTTGTAGTAATTGGAAAGGGAATGGTGAATGAAAATACTGGGGAAAAATTGCCCTTTGGTATAACATTATTGGCTTTAAAAGGCTTACAAGAAAATCTGCTGATACAAAATGACTACATCTGTTTCTACATATATTTTTAATTGCATGGGAATTATGTCTAAACCATAAAAAACTAATACAAAATATGAAATACAGTGCTTATTAGATTTACTGAAATGAATATATTCCTGGAAGTGTTTCTACCTTCTTTTTATGTGTTCATTACTCCATATTAATTGATACCTTTTTCTATTTTCTCAGAAGTTATTTTTAATAACATAATAGAAGAGATTCCATTTGAGATCAGTACCTGAATATATGTGCCTGCATCTGTCTAGCAGTGCTGTGTACTTACTTAAAAAAATAGTAAGGTGTCTATGGCCATTTGAGATGCTTTAGGTTAGCAGAGACAACTGCACAAGGTCAGTAGATACAGCATGGATGGTAAGTGACCAGTGGTCTTCTGGAACAAAGGTGGAGATGAGGCTCATTACCCTGTGGCATCTCAAATGTATGGGCAAGTGAATCAACTCTGAGATGTCTGAGCTGCTTTTGTAGTCAATAGCTGTCTAGTCAGTACAGCCACTGTAATGTAAAGTGTGATGTAGCTGCCTGGTTGGGCGTCTGCTTTGAAGATGAGCTGATGTAAGCTCCTTTGGTTGGGTTGGACTGGTTGGTTGAACCCTGATAACTAGAATGAGATGGTAGACATCTACTGTGCTTATTGAACACTTGCAGATAGACACCTTATCTTGAACTGAATCCCATCCAGTAACCTCAGTTGGGGTTTTATAGCCTTGTTTTATTGGAATGAGAGTCCTCTGATCTTACAGAGGAGTGTGGTGTTAAATGTTTCTGAACTTTAAAAAATAGGGACGTACCTGGTTGAATTCAAATCACGAAGAAAGAAAAGGATTTGCTTCTGAATCTAAATGCTATTATAAGAGGAAACTTTTTTCTAACTTCTGCTTTGGCCAAAACTATAAAACTTAAAGTTATAACATTTTGAGCAGGCAATCCGCATTTCTGGGCACTTTGAAAGTGCCTTCAGATCACTGCTCTGATAATCGTGCTCTTTTATTCCATACGTGCTCAAAATTTTTAATGAGTTTTAAAAATCTCAGCCTTTTAGTTTTGTTGCTTTTTTTTTTTTTAAGATATTAAATATTTTCCTTATGTTTAAATCCTATTTCTGTGCATTGAAGGTGAATTCCTGCATATTATAAGCTGTTCGTGGGTTGAAGTTCTGATTCACACACATGTAAATGTTGAGGCTTGGACAGCATTGTCTTGGAATTCTTTTGACAGTTGTTAATATACTGCAAACACTAATGCTTCACTTAATACGGAAGAGTTGTGTATATCCATCTGTACGTGTGTCTTTCTGTAGCCGGGACAAATAAGAGTGATTAGCTAGGTTTCTTTGTATTATGTTAATGCCTGTGATGGATGACAAAGTGGTGTACTTTGGTATACTTAAAGTGGTTTCCATCCATTGTTCAGCAGTGCATTTGGTTTCTGTTATAGTAATGTATGTGTTGCTTTGTAGCAATTTCACTGAAACTTCTTATTTTGTGAAGTGGTATATTTTAGTTTTGTACACTGTATTTTGCATAGTGTTTTGGTGAGAGTACCCTTGAGTTGCTGGGAGGTACGCTGCCTAAGTGTCTTATAAGCAGGTCATTTGTCTGACATGCCAAATGTGGAGATTATAACTTCTACTTCATCTGACTGGGGTGCATGTGTTGTTTTGATGCTATTGAAATCTCTAGTATGGAGGTCACTAATAATTAGAGGGGAAAAGCCTTTCTAGAAAGCAGTTTTTGCACCTGCTTACTGCTTTATTAGCAGTGTAATAATTCAGATGTGTTGAATAAGCTTTCTGGATTTGAACTGTTGAAATTCTCTGTCAGGACAGTGGATATGTTAGAACAAGGAAGACTTCTTTACTCTTTCACCTGTATAGATTATACTTTTGTTATTCTCTCTTTTACTGGACAAAGGAAAACTGCACCACTGCTAGGAGGAGGACCAAATGGATAGATGCCTTAAAAAGAGGTTGCGTAAAGTGGGATTTCAGGACCTGTAAATGGCAGTTTGAGGGATAGTGCCTTGGGCAGAAACCTGCTCCCATGTATTAAGTCGGGGGAGGTGACTACGTTTCATGTTCGATGCCTTCTGGCTGGATTTATTTCAGCAAAATGTTTGAGGGAAGGCCCATTGATTCTCTCCTCTTGAATCCCGTAATTAATTCTTCTGAACAGCTTCTCTATTATCTGTCCTCTTTTTCATTTCTTTTTCCAGTATTGTTCCTACTCTGTGCCTCTGTACAAAGCTACATTTGATACAACTGTGAAGTTTCAGATTGTCCACAGGACTTGGAGCTGTTGTAGTAAAACTGGCCAATCTTGTTAAATTTCTCAAACACACCCAATAAACAATGAGCAGCAGGCTAGACCATAGTGCAACAGACTGTAAATTCGGGTGGTCCTACTCATGGTTGTTCCCTCCTTTTCTGTTAAAAACTGAAGGTTGAAAATGTTAAGGGTGGAATTTCCATTAACGTTCAGCGTGGGACTTATTCTGCTCCTCTTGAAGGTGAATATTGGCAAAACTCCCACTGATTGCAAGAAAGCAGTACTAAACTGGAGCTTGCAAAGTTCTAAAAATTCTACCAAATTTCTATAATGAAAGGTTAAATTCTTCAAAAATTATTTAAATCAATATATCTTTTAAAAAAATTAAATATCTTCCCCATCTGTCTAATTATCTGTCTTAGTCCTTTACCTTCCCTTCTCCCATACAAACCTGAGAAAAGCCTACTTCCCTTAACTGCCGGTGGAAACTCAGTTTCTCCTCCACAGAGGGGTAAGAGTTGGCTGTGAACACTCTGCAATTGTAAAACACTCCCTCAGACTTGAGGAACTTGCTTTTGGTGTCAATATGTTTAAGTATAATTTGGGTTTATTATCATCACACATTTTCTATAATTTTCTATATTTTTATGAGGTTTTTTCAAATACATATGGGTGTTTTTTCCTAGCTCTTACTGATTGCCTTAGAGCTTTCTCATCCTTTTGGATGATGTAACCCACTTTGAGAAACACTGACTGAGGTCATTACTTTATGAATATATTACCCCAATTAGGAGTTTTAATGTGATGCTTTCAGCTTCAAGGGAGACCAGATTACAGGCCATCTGGCAAGGCGGAACATGCATATGATGTGGGTAGCTAATACCATAAGGACCTAAATGCTTACCCTGTGGTTCAGTAGCGCCCTTTGTTAGAGGGATGACTGAAGGGATATTATTTGGTGGTCAGGGGCTGAGGAGTACCTTTGGTGCAGGATCCTTCTTACTGTGGTTTGGGGGAGTCCAAAGATTGTATAGCTTATGCTGTTCACTCTTGTAATCGTTATTGCATGTATGTACTCGTGTGTTTATCTACTTCAGCTGTCTAAATTGCTAACATTTACTAATTTTGCTAAATAACATGGTTAGGAACTCAAGGCAATACCAAAAATAACACAAACCTATTACTCGACTTTATTTCATATATCTACAGGCAAAGTCATCGCTTTCACGTTTTTCCAATTCTTCTGCAGGGTTTTCAACATCAGGCGTTAAGTGGCTGAGATGCAAACATTTATGCTCTTAGAGCTTGGATTTGCAAACACTTTTAAACTGATATAATCTCTGAAAGAATTGGTCCTGCTCTGCTGCTACCTCTGGCCTTTTGTTCTGTCCTTGCAATGTTTTTGCTTATACTGGCATGAACATTTGCATGGCCAGACAGTGAATCAGATCAGGGAGCTGATTCGAGTTGAAACTAATCCGGTATGGAGAGAAAAAAAAAAGTTGCTATTTGTTCTCCTTCCCACACCCTATTTATGCAAGCAAGAGAGGGAAGGTGACCTGGGATATGAATGAACGAACAGTCAGGTAGAAGAGACGCGGGACAGCTGCTTTTCATGGTAGCACTGGTTAAAGGTATTTTGAAATTATACCCTTGAACTTTCATCTGTTCTGTGCCCTGTGCAGCCTTGCCATGAAGCAGTTTTGACTCTTGAGGCTGTGATTTCCAGGTGCACTTCTGGAGTGATGGTGGCAGCTGAAGTAGCAGTCATTGCTTGCTCTGGTTCCTGCTCCCACACTGTGTCAGCGTGAGGATGTGTAGTAAACATGGACAACGGGGAAGCGCTTTCCTTCCTGAGGTGTGTGAGTTGTCGTTCCCCACCTCCTCTTCCTTCCCCCAGCTGCTCAGGTTTTCTGATCTAGACCATTGCATGGGATGCGTGTAGATGAACGGCTGTGGAGGTAATGGGAGCAAGAAAGAGAAACTTCTACTTCTGGCTTGACATGAATAGTCTGAGGGAAGCCCAGGCTGGGATAAGTTCTGCCTTGCCTTCAGCACCCTATG